CCTTAACGGTTGATATGGTTTATGATTTACAGAAAATATATTTCGGCTTAAGTACCATGATGTATCTGTTCTTAACATCCCATGAGGTGTATATATTCATACATACATATACATATCATTTGTGTGTGTGTGTTTGCACATATCTCTCTCGTTATGGTTACAGTGGAGGTAAAGTTCAGTTGAAAATGCGTAATGCAAGTCTTTAAAAGATCAAATACTCAACGTTCACACTTCCTCATCATATTATCCTTTACTCGTTTGCTTTCACAGGTAAATTTACCTAGGCAACGCAACATATGATTTAGGACTTAACTAAATCACCTTGTCTTTCGCACCAAATACCATACAGAGAGGTTGATAAGCATGGCTGTTCTATTTTGTCAGCAAGACAGTTACGCAGATGTCACTGGCATCTACGCGTAATAGGACAAGCCATTCATTTGACTTCTCGAAAATGAGGCTTATTTACCTGGTAATAGCTGATACTTTATTAACGACAGGTTAAGGATATCATCATAATCAAAAATGGTATATTGATAGCGAAAAAATACTATTCCCATGAACAGCATGGAAAAACTTCCTTTCCCTATGTACTAAAATATATAACACAACGGACCTTGTGGAAGCGAAAGGCAACAATATCTCGCTTATCATCCCAAGCAACTGAGATTTCACGCACGCGCAGAAGACACATAACTCAGACGCATAAATCTCCGAAACCACAAACGAAAGCAGATCGTATCTAGTGGCTCATCCTCCACGCTCCTGGGAAGGAGAACTACACAAGGCCTTTGGCGAGTGTTCCTGAAATGCGCTTCTATTTTTTGCAAGCGAGGAAATTAGGGACGTGAAGTAAGAAAATATCGCTTTTATGTGGGAAAGATCACACACACACACACACACACACACACACACACACACACACTCACACACACACACACACACACACACACACACACACACACACACACACACACACAACACACACACACACACACACACACACACACACACACACACACACACACACACTCAAACGTATCGTAGACAATCAGAAATTCTGCTAATAACTGGTGTCATTTGGAAGTTCTGTTCGTTTTGATGATTGTCTGTCAATTAGACAAAAGATCGGCATCTAATAATATTCTGTTATGTTGTAATAAAAAGGCAAGAATTTTATTTTATTATTATTATATTTAAACTAATGGCTAAAAATCTTTCATGCATCCTAACAGAGAAGAGGGAAGCAGCGTTTGGCTTTTGAATGCATCTTTCACGCTTCTTTCCAATGCAAATCTACGCATAGAAAAAAAATCATAAAGAAAATTTGGGTCTTTGATGACTCAATAAAAACAAAACATGACATTTAACCTTTCACTAGAAATTTCCAATTATATTCTGATTCAGTAATCAAAAACACATTTATCCACTTCTAAAAAAGAAGCGAATTTGTAAATGCCAGTTTCATAGTCAAGCTTAACGGGACTTGGCCACAAATGGATACATATGTGTATTTGCTTATTTGTGTGTGCATGTGTGCCTCCTTGCGTGTTTGTTGATTTGTGTGTATGCGTGTTTGCGTGTACATTTGTGCGCGCGTGTGTATGTATGTATGTGTATGTGTGTAAGAATATGTGCGAATGCGGTGCATGTGTGTGGGCGTACATCTGTCCACCTTCCCCCTGCCCACGCTGCCTCCCGGTGCCAGACCTCACCCTGAAAGGGCACTCCAGTCACCATGTGTTTTATCCCATAATCATCCAATAACCCAACGACGTTCGGCAGCTTATGATTAGCAGACAGCTCCCCCCCCCCCCAACACTTCGGTCATTTATTTGTTTCTCCTTTTCCTGCTGCTGCTCCCCTCGCCGAGAGCGGCACTCAGGGGGCTGAACCTTCAGCAACCGCCCTCCGCTCCCCCATGTCCCCTCGTCCACCCTCCCCCTCCAACTATACCTGTGCCCGCCCTAAGCCTCAATGGTTCCCGTACCCTTGTGGCGTCCCTCCCTCTCTCCGGTGCCTCGTGTTGGCCCTGTCAGTGCCTCGCCAGACGTCCCCTTGCCCGCCTGCCCGCTTCCTCCCTCTCACCCACTCACAGCACCTCGCGTACCCTCGTCCGCTCCGTGCAACCTCGTGTAGCTACATCACGAAGCCGCATTTGTGGTACATGTCTTTGTGGAAGTACTTTTTGTCCAGAGGCTGTGTACTGTATTTTTTCTGTGTGCTCGTTGGCATTCCATTTCGTGGTCAGTAGTGTGTGATTTGAGGTGAAGAGCAAGGCGGTGGAACTGAAGTGTTGTGGTGAGGACATACTGCGGGGCGGCGAAACGTGTTGGCTTATGTGTTAATAATAAAGACTTGAGTCCTCTCATGTTTACTACAACCGCCTCAATCTGAAAGACTGGTTTCGGTGGAACTTCTATTTCATTGCGCGTTCACGGTAAAAGTTTTACAACGGGAAAATACTATACTGATCTTCACCAACACCAAGGCGTATGACATGGAAAATAAACAGAATGCTTTTAACAGATCTTAAGACCTGGCCAAATTGACAGCTGACACAAGGAAGAGCAAGAAGACAAGTGTAAAGACGAATCGCAAGAACGAAAACGCGAGCGAGAAAATGTCATAAACCTTACTTTTACCTCGATGGCAGAAAAAAGGCGAGTTCCTGCCATGACATCCATTTACAAGCTGTGAACTGTGAGTCACAGAGCCAACTCCCTTTAATTGTGAGTAAGAGTTCCCTTGTCTTGTGCTTTTAACATGTCCTGCCTCTCTTCACGCTGTCATTCGACCTGATCAAGTGGTGGGTTGGCTATAAGGACTATATTGCATGAGTTAAATACCTATTACCTGCTTTTACTCACACAGGTTTCACTACCTTCTAGTAATTATGTTGTCATGGCGATAATGATATCATTACTACCAATGATACGATAAAAATGCAATAAGATTGGTAAGTGATCATAAGGTTGAAGATGCAAATGATAACATCAGGGGTAGTGAAGGTAGCAGTGATGGCAATGATAGTGAGAATACCATGCTACACAAACTGGTAGTGATGATAACAACCATAAGACTAATGAAAGTGACGATGATGATGATGACAATACTGGTAGTGGAATCCATCATCGTCATCATCATCATCATTATTGCTACCATTGCCATTATTATAAATATTTCTATAATCATCATTATCATTATTATTACTATCATCATAACCATAACCATCATGGTAATAATAGTAATAGTAATGACTGCAATAATGATAATGATAATAATAATAATAATGATGATGATGATGGTGATGAGGATAACAATAACAATATTGGTAATGATAATGATAATAATGATAATGATGGTAATGATGTTGATAGTAACAAGTGTTTATTATGATAACAGTAATGATTATGATTATCATTGTAATCATCATTATCATAATCATTATTATTGATGATAATATAATTTTTGTTATTATTATTGCCAACATAATCAGGATTATTATTATCACCATCATTTCTATCATTATTATTGTTATTATTATACTTATAATAACAATAATGATGATTATCATTACCGTCATTATTTTTTTATTAATATCATTATCATTATCATTATCATCATTAATATCACTATCATGATCATGATCAAGATCATCATTATTATTATCATTATTATTGTTATCAATATTATCATTATCACAGCAACTGTTCTCATTATTATGTTCTTAATTGTTATAGCCATTATCATTGTTATTTGATTTTATGTTAACATTGTGTTATTATTAATCATATTATTATTATCAGCGTTGTTATTTTCATCACTGTTATTATGATTATTAGTGTCACCATTATCATTATTATTATTATTTCATCATTATCATTATTATTATCAGTATTATTATTATTATCATTATTATTATTATCATTATTATTATTATTATTATTATTATTAATATTATTATTATTATTATTATTATATTTATTATTATTATATTATTATTTTATTATTATCAGTATTATTATTATTATTATTATTGTTATCATTATTATTATCATTATCATTATTATTATCATCATCATCATTATCATAATTGTTATTAATTATCATTATTACTATTACTATTATCATTACAATTAATAGTTATCATTATCATGATCATTATCATCATTGCCATAATTACAACAATTGTTAGGATCATTGTTATTATTATTGTTGTTGTTGCAGTTGCTGCAACATTATTATTTTCATTGTTATTATTTTAATTAACTATAATTGCCAATGTTACTTTTATTATTGTTATTATCATTGATATTATTACTAGTATTACTGTTAATGTTTTAGTTATTGTTATTATTATCATTATTATTATTATTATTGTTATCATTATTATCATTACTAATGTTACTACTACTATTATTATCATTATTATTGTTATTATTATCACTTTTATTATTTTCATTATTACTATTAATGTTATCATTACTGTTATGATTATCATTATTATCATTACTATATTCATTAATATTGTTATCATCATTACCATTATCATAATGCTTTTTTGTTATCATTAATATTATTATCATTATTGTTATTATTATTCTTATTATAAATACTATTATTACCGTTATTATTATTATTATTATTATTATTATTATTATTATTATTATTATTATTATTATTATTATTATTATTGTTGTTGTTGTTGTTGTTGTTGTTGTTGTTGTTGTTGTTGTCGTTGTTGTTGCTGTTATTATTATTATTATTATTATTATTATTATTATTATTATTATTATTGTCATCATTATTAGTATTATTACTATTAGCATTATTATCATTAACATTACCATTAACAGAATTGTAAATACTATGTTTTATTGTTATTATTGCTATTATTGTTGCTATCATTAGCATTATTATCATTATTATTTTATTTTATTAATATTATTATATTATTATTATTATTATTATTATTATTATTATTATTATCGTTATCATTATCATTATTATTTTATTTTCATTGTTATTTTTTATATTATTATTATTATTCATTATCATTATTATCATTACCATAATTATTGTTGTTATTACTATTATTATTGTTATTAGAAGAAGAAGAAGATGATGATGATGATAATGATAATGATAACAAGATGAAAGATAATGGACAAATGTGAAAGTAATAAAACAATGTCCCATTTCGCATTCTCCCTTCCATGCGGTGGTCACGACCCGTCGGCGTTTGGCAGCGGGTGGTGGGCATCGAGGGCTCAAGACGAGACGCCGGGAGGGAGCGTCGAGGGGAAAGTGGTACCTCGCGAAGCCTTCGAAGGGGAGTGTGTCATAGGCTGGGGTGATGGGGCAGGGGGGGGGGGGGGATGGGGTGTGAGAGTAAGGTAGTGGCAGGAGGGGAAAGAGAGGAAGGGAAGGAGGTAGGGGTGGAGGAGACAGGATGAAGGGGAAGAGAGGTAGGGGGAGGTACGGAGGAGAGAGAGGGTAAGGAGGGAGGAAGGGGGAGAAGAGAAGAGGAATGAGGAGGAAGGTAAAGGGAGTCAAGGTGGGGAGAAGAGGGATATGGATGGCAAGGGGAAGGGGGGGGGGAGGTTGGGAGACGGAGATGAGAGGTGGAGGAGGTGAGGAAGAAGAGTGTTGGGTAGGGAGGCAAGGTGACAGAGAAGAGAGTTGGGGAGAGAAACAGGGTGAGGGAGAAGAAAGATGAGCAGAGGCAGAATGAGGGAGACATTCAGAGAGTGAGCGAAAATTGGAGATCCTTACTCAAATTAGGGCAAGAAGTAAGCTGAGAGAGAGAGAGAGAGAGAGAGAGAGAGAGAGAGAGAGAGAGAGAAAAAAAAGGAAAAAAAAACTAAATCACCACAGTATTCCCCTTATCCAATCTTACCTATTTTCATGATGTTTCCCCCCGAATTCTTGGGATGAAGAGGAGGTATGCAGCGAGGGAGTGTGGAGATGATGTGTGAGGAATGACAGGGAGGAGGGAGAGGGGAGAGGAGAGCGGAGGAGGGGAGGAGGAGCAAATAAGAGGAAGACGAATATGAGGAGGAAGTGCCAAGGGACAGAGCTGACAGCACGCCGAGACCAACACGAACGAGTCATTAACAGAAGGGAATCAACGAACCAATAAAATAAACGGAAGAAGAAGAAGAAGAAGAAAGAAAGAAAAGATGAAAGACAAGGGATTAAAAGAGCGATAGAGGAGAAAGACATTAATATCCGATCTGGGGAAATAAGGAGAGACAGGGCCAAGGTGACTTTTAAAAAGGTGAGGTTAATGAATCGACTGAGGTTTCGAGAAAGTAATGTTGTGGATACTGAGAAGAGAAGAAATGCGTGGAGGTAAATATTTCCAATTTATTTATATATCTATCTGTCCCTATATATCTATCTATACATATATGACGACTGAAACAACGAAATTAAACGTCAAATGTAAATAAATAAAAATATATTTTAGAGAAGAACAGTGAAAAGTGAACAACAAATACCACATAACACACAACAATGAATCAGGTACCAGACAGTAGGAAATAACTCAGCGAAGACATGGATAATGGCTACACTGTGAAGACATCATAATTACGCCATACGTCAGCTGTCGCAGCTGTCGGCCCGCCCTCGCCCGAGCACGGTGTCACGAGAAGACGTGTCCCGCCCGCGCCGCCGTGAAGCGATCATACGTGAGAAGGACAGGGCGTGGGGCTGCCTTGGAATGGGCGGAATTCGGGCTGCGGCCTCGTTGCACCTCTCCGGAGAAGCGTCTGCCACTTTATGTATATATATATATCTATATGTATCTCTCTCTCTCTCTCTCTCTCTCTCTCTCTCTCTCTCTCTCTCTCTCTCTCTCTCTCTCTCTCTCTATATATATATATATTATATATATATATATATATATATATATATATATACTACCTACATACCTACACACACACACACACACACAGTCTGCTGTAAAGCCAGTTCAGAAAGTAGAAAATTAGTCATGGCAAGCGCTACCAGTGATGTTAATAAATCATTTGTTCATCTAGTCATCACGTGAGGTATTGGTTAATAATGTTCTTTCGGATCCTGAGATCATGCCTCAGTTTCTTACGCCAAGCTATGTAAACAGCTTACATTCTTGAGGTAAAAATGTGCACGTGTTTTCTCGCTTAGAGATCTGTGCTTCTTTGCATTCTTTGGTCATGCATTCAAATATCAAGTGGTTCGCGTAACAGATTTTATTGAATCTATCATTAAGAGGTTTTATTTTTTTTATTACGATTCTTTAGTTAAATTGAAGTTTTGAAAGAAACATAAAATCTAGAGGGTCCCTTGCGTTTTTTATCTGATATACAACATTTAAGGTGTTCCAGAATCAGTTCCGAAAGGAATGCTGCTATAGATCTCGTTTTAGAATTTCCAAAATTATTTCTATAATCCTACTGTATTCCCATTCCATTGTAGCGTTTCCTTTCTCAAAATCCTTGGGCTCTACTCCAATAAATGCAACTCCCTCGTGTCATGCCGTCTCTACATCTCCCCCATTCCTACCTGTCACTTCTAAATTGATAAAGGTTTTAATTAGTGAATGACCCTCCCCCTTCCCGTTCAAAATAACGCCTTGAGACTACCTGGTGTAGGTTTTTCATTTGTGTAAATTATAATGAAGGTCAGTTGTCTGTTAAATATAAAAACTATCCCAAGCCATATGCAAACATTTTAACATTTT